TGCGGGGATAGTCCCCGTGATCATGCAGTAAACCTCGATGATGTTGTGGCCTCGCCACTCGGCACTGAAGAGAAGGGCATGGAGACAGAAGACAGAGGTGGCACACCGGGTAGAAGGATGGGGATGAATCGTGGTGGTCAAGGGGACGACGAGATAAGGACCGGGGACGAAGCCCGATGCCCCGCATCGGTACAAGCTCGAACTGGTGGACGGGTTGAGGTGGAGGGGGAGGGGGATCAGCTTCGTCGTCGTCAGGTCTGTGCGCTCGAAGTCTCGGCAGCAAGGTCCCCATCGTCGTTCTTGGGCGGCTCGGGATCTTTGGCTGGGTTGTGTGGTATCGGCAAATCCACTCCACTAGCGAACTCCCGCCGCTTTTCCCTGCTGCGATCTCTTCTCTTCTTCGCGCCGCCTCGGGATCCTCCTCGTGCGGCTCTGCGCGATCCGCCTCTTCTCCCAACGTCTCCCACTCAGATTCCTCCTCTTCCTCTAATTGATCTTTTTCTTCTTCCTCGTCTTCGTCACTCTGCTCTCCCTCGCTGTGCTCCCTGTAACTTCCTTCTTCTGGGGTTTCCTCCTCTTCTTCCTCGTCGCCTCCTTCTTCATCCTCTTCCTCCTCTTCCTCTAGTGTTATCGCTTCATCTTCGGATGTCGTTCGAGGCTGAAAGAAGGCGAGGTCGATTATCCCCCGGGGGTCCAGGTATAGTTGTTGTGATGGAGGGTTGTTGTTATTTGCTAGCTCCTCGGGGCAAGCCGACCACTGCAGGTAGTGTGTTAGAGTTCGTGAAAGGACGTGGGGGACTGGACTCTCGTCACACTGCGAAATGATATCGAGAGGGAGATCGTCGGCCAGCTGCACGAGGGGAATCGTGAGTTCCTGTACGATCTGCTGTCGATAGCCAGGACGCACCGATCCGAATAGAAATCCGAGAAGGTCCCCTTCCACCTCCGTCCTCCACGCTTGGATGACCAACAGTTCCACGTATGCGACCCAGGCGCGATGCTCTATGTCCCTTGTCCACGTCAGCTGCACTCCGACCAGACACACCGAAAGATCAACGAAGTGCTCACACCACAGTTCCCACTATCTTTAGTCGAGAAGGGGGGCATGAAGTGGTTCTAGACGAAAAGAGAGACGGGGGCAAAGGTCAGACTGCCAGAAGGTATTAAGGCCTGGTTGAAAGCAGACAATCGGGATCCGTTCATTGAGGACGCTTGAAAGGGACGAGCTCAGGAAGCACCACCGCGGGCTCGTGTCGAGACGTCCGGAGTCCTCCGACTTCGATGTCGTCCGTGGGGATAAGATTATCGCCGCGGCGCGTAAGCCACTGATTCCACTCTGTTGCCAGTTGTTGACCCCACTCCCTTAGCGACGTCCGGATGGCCGTGTGTCGCAGAGGGTTGATCACGCTAATGTCACCGCTGAAGATGACGACGGTAGACACATGGCTAACTCCTGGTGCTGACAACCATCGAACCGCCGTCGCCTCTGCCAATACGATCACTTGACGATGGCTGGTGAATCGGAACTCCGCCGCTGCGTACACCCCGGTAGTGCCGAAGAACTGTGCGAGCCGTAGGGGGTCCAGACTGAATCGCGGGTGATGAACTTGCCGAATTGCCGAAATGTCACCACGTGGCGCCAGCATGTGATCGCTGAGAGCCCGCTCAGTGAGAAAACTTATGGCGATGGCGATAAGGGCGGAGTAAGAGAAGCAGGAGGGGATGAGAGCGTTAAGGAATCGTCGTCCTCTTCTGTAGCGAAGGAGGAAGCAGACGCAGCTTGAGATGGAGAGGAAGGGAGAAAACGTAGATAGGACACGTGGCGGATGATCGGTCGAGCCGATCAGCTTCCCGAGACCTCCGGCACGAGGCACACGATGTTCACTCCGTTCGGGCCGAGTTCGATCACACGAAATCGCCCGAAGAATCGCGGCGCTATCTTCCCTTGGCGAGCACATTTCCTCACCTGCACCAGATCCCCTAATTTATACTGGGGCCGTGGTCTTGCGTTCCCATTTCGGGCCTCGTAGCTACGGACCTGTCGGCCGTGGGCCAACTCAGTCATTTTTTGGCGTTTTCGGGCTAATCGGGGAAGGGACCGTTCCATCAGCTCCATGTGTCGTTTGGCCTTGTCCTGAACCGTGGCTCTTGTGGGTCGTCGGTTCAATGAAGATTCGTCAGGGAGGCTCGGTATCGAGACACAAGCTACGCTATTGGTTCGTAATTGGAAGGGGCTAAGGCCTGCCGATTCGTGAGGCGTTCCCCGATGGACCGCTAGGATGTGATCTACGATACCGGGCCAGGGCCTCGGATCCCATGCCGCGATGTTTCGTCGCAACGCTGTCTTTATCACTCGATTTGCGTTTTCCACTAGGCCATTAGATTGCGACATGTGGGGTGCAGTGTTCCAAATAGCGACGCCGTGTCCGACCAAATTCCTTAAAGACTTCCCCTCTGAATTCTACCCCATTGTCGGTCAGGATATCCTCTGTGTCCTGGTGCATCCCTAGAAACCGGTTGACATATCGCGCAATTTCAGCCGCTTGTCGTGTACGACACGGATATGTCTCAATCCATTTCGAAAAGTGGTCTACGAATAGCAGTAGGATTGAATACTCGCAGCGATTAGGTCCAGGGGGCACCACAATATCGGTAGTATCCATGCTAACCCTTTGAAACGGCCGTTCAACTACCGTTGGCACTATCGATCTTGGCGGCTGGATAGACGCCTTGTCAGTTGCGCAAACCTGACAATTCACGATGATGAATTTCACATCATCGCAAATATTGAACTAATACCACTCGTTCTTGTCGATTGCCGCTACCGTGCTTCGTACTGCAAAATGGTTTGTCGTTTCCTCATGCGTCGTCTTAACTCAGTCACACCTCATGAACGGGTGCGGCACTGCCATCCAAATCCCGCTACCATCCGTCTTTCGTTTTTCTAACCGGCCCTCGTTCCAACGATAGTCCCTAGCCCTTTCGTTGGCCCTCCTCCGATCCTCCTTAGTGAAGTCCTGGAGGGGGGTTACCTACTAAGGTGGCAATTAGAGCGATGTCTGTCCATATCTCGGCCCTTCTAAACTTCCGGGTCTTTTCCAACCCTTCTGACGTGGCGTCAAGAAACCGAGCTTCAGTCGGGATCTTATCAGTCCGACACAAGGGACACAAACGAGGCTTATCGCCATTTTTGTACTGGACGCACCAGCCATGGGCTCGTGTGACACACTGTCGATAATCTACCCATTCTGCATACCCTTCCCCACTAGAACGCATTGAGATCGAGTAGACGCATGAGAGCGCTTCACAAAAATAACAAAATTTGTCGAGTAGGGAGAGAAAAGATGAAGTTGAGAGGGGAGAGAGAGGAGTTGTAGGATTACCTCCGTCACTCATTGCCAATCGCCTGCTTCTTGACACGTGGAAGGACAACCACTTGTCCATACTTGGGTCCGTTCGCTGACTCCGGTTCCTTCCACGGAATGATTTCTTCGCCCCTTGGTATCTTAGCGGGGCGATGGAGACGTGTCAACCCGTCCACGTTGCCGTGCCTCTCTGTCTTTCGGTGGATGATGTCGAAATCGTATTCCTGTAGGCGCACCGCTCACCGTCCGATCATACCCATGATGTCGAAATCGTATTCTTCTTTCTCTCTCTCTCTCTCTCACACACACACACACCTGTCTCTTATACACATCTAGATGTGTATAAGAGACAGATGCATGGATCACGGGCGCGGGCGGAAGGCCCCTGCCAACCGTATTGCCCCGAACATAACGCACGCTAATTGTGTTGTGAATGTATACAAGACATCTTCTAATGAGGGTGCGTTGTGTTCGGGCAAAAACGGTACACCGCTANAGAGAGAGAGAGAGAGAGAGAGAGAGAGAGAGAGAGAGAGAGAGAGAGAGAGAGAGAGGCGGAGGTTATGTCAGCCTATGAGGCCCAGGATCTGATTCGACATCATAGGGTCAAACATTGATAAGACATTTGACAGCAAGACTATTTTTGGACTTCGTTATCACGATCTTGGTCCCTCCCTCATCTCCATTTTATTTTATTTTTTATTTTATTTTTTTTTAATTTACAAAACACAACTGAAGTCATTAGGAATGGTGATAAGAGCAACCATTCCTAATCACCAGTTGAGACTCCAATCTATTGGTGGGGAGTATCACCTGCTGAAAATTGGGTTCAACGTCCATTATACAGAAAAAACAATGTTCACTATTACAACTTGATAAGAGTTAAAAGGATTAAAACCACCTCTTCAGTCCTGATCGGACCACCATATAGGACTTGTACCTCTAGCAGTTATAACCCTCCTGATGATGAAGAATCATTCGACATTAAAGTGTAAGCAATGTACAATGTACAATCACTCCCCTTCTCCACCAAACCACAGCAAATCAACCATAAAAAGTTGTGAAGGAGGAACGGGATCTGCAAAACAATTTGGAGATCTAAGGGAAGATCCTGGCTGCAGCGCGAACCAGTCCCAAATGCGGAGATGGAAGATCCTCTTGAGAGATTCCTCCATCCCTTCCCCACCTGGCCATTCCACCTTACCCAGACCCTTCCCTTGAGTTCCCCCCAGCCAGTTGAAGACAAAATTTTAAATACTTTCTTGTATATCTTTCTTTTGATGTAATTTCAAAAGTCTGGTCTTAGTTATTTCCCATTGTGCTATGATCTCAGTCTGAACAAATTTAACAATTATCTCAGAGATTCCCCCCCCTTTCAAGGCTACGTTATTTCTTGCTAGAAGTTAACGTTTGTACCAAAGGACCCATAATACTGCCTTTCTGCCTATAGTAAACAGGTTACGCTGAAACTCAAAAAGCTCGAAGTCTATAGGTTTCCAATAGCCCAGCAAGATAGCGCTCCATTCCCACTGCCAATCTATCCCAGTCAGACTCCTCCAAGTGCTATCCCACCGTCGCCATAATAGGGTCGCACTCAGACACTGCATAAAAATGTGTTCAATAGTTTCACAAATTTTCCTATTAGGGAAAGTCGTATAACAAGACTTACACCATGGGGAAGCTAGGCCTCTTTGTTCTAGACTTGAATGATCCATGAGCCAGTCATTTGTCGGCAAACACCAATGAATAATCTGCCATTGAAGGGAGGTAAATTTAGCAGGAATTTCATATTTTTAAGTCTTGCCCTCCCCCATCTCCTCATCCTTGGTTTCTCCCCATGTGCGTGATAAAGAAGGGACCTTTCTTTTATGTGTGCGGTCCCTCCCTTCTCTCCCACATGTGTGATGTGTGATGGGTCGAGTCGCATCAGTGTTTGACAGGTCGGGTCATATCTTTGAGTCTTCCGCTGAGCTACATTATGCTATTTTTGTATGTATATGGATGTACATTGCTTGTTGATGCCTCACTGATGCTGCATTGTCCTTTCGAGTCCTTACATGCTGCGCCTGCAAACGAGGGTCATTTTCAGGCCCTGTGTCGTTTCAGCCTGAAAGCCTGAAAACAAGGGCCTACAGGCCCTGTGTCGTTTCAGCCTAAAAAAGGGCCCTCCAGGCCCTAAGTTTTTTTATTCTGAAACGGAGGGCCATTTTCAGGCCCTCGTAAGATCGACCTGCCCTGAAACTTAGGCATCAGACCAGGGTTTTAGCACAGGCCATTTTGGGCCTGTTTTCAAGACAACCTATGTTGAACTTCAACACCAGGGTCTGGCACGTTTTGGCATTGGCAAGAGCAGCCTCTTGGACAGGTCAACATTATATAAGACTGGCCCACCCTGCAGACTGCAGGTAGTTCATAGGGGACTTCCCAGGCACTTCACGTGCAGTTCAGGAGGTAGGAGGTAGTCTTCAGGATTCGACAGCAGCACTCTGGAGGAGCGCTGCAGTAGTAGTAGTAGCGTTAGCAGTAGTCTTCAGCGCTGGGCGCTAGCAGGAGCTAGAGTAGCACTGGAGAGAAAGAGAGAGAGATTCGGCGGAGGCCAGGGAGACTTACCTGCAGTGCCATAGCTCCAGCTTCGCCTTCGAGGTCCCTGCAGCATGGCGCCATCTTCAGAGGTTAGTACCTGGCACATGACACACACACACACACACACACACAGAG